ATATATTTTTTAAATATTCTTATTAATCATGTGTATTAGTTAAAATTAATTTTTAACACATGCAACTGATACGAGAACTATCTTAATAAAAAAAAATATCAATATGAAAAACAAAATAAATTATGATCTTATATTCAGAAATAAATTGAATGTAAAATTAGCTCTTATATCAAAGATAATATAAAGATTTGACAAAAAGTATATGAAACAGGTGAATCTGGCTGTTTTTCTTTCGTATGATCCTCCAGCTCAAGTATATTCTGAAAATATCAAAGCGGACAAATCGTTCTCATACTTAAAAGTAGCCTAAGAATTAGATTAGAGGATGGGTTTTCAATGCAGTGTTAAGATAAGCATAACCTAGTTAACTGCATTTAGGAAAACGGGAGTTCTTTGGAGTTGTGTGCCACAAGGGAGGAGGGATAGAAGATCTAGTCAGAAGAGATAAGAAAGGAAGGAAAGCGGGTGAAGAGAGGGTGAAATTCATATAGATGATATTTGTAAGCAGTTTTTTTCTTAAAAGAAAGAAAGAAGACCATAATTTTCTTCCTTTGCCTCATAGATAATCCTCCTTTTCAAAGTACAAAACTGCAAATTAAAATACCGATGCAAATGCACTTGGTGTATTGCTCTAGGCAAAGTAGTCCCGGGAAGTGGAGGGTGCTATTCCCACAAGGCCAGTTTGGCCTCCTCTCTAATTCCCCCCCAACCCCACCCAAAAAGAATAATGAGGCAGATGATAATATGAACTTAAAAAGCTCATCTCTTGACAAAGAGTAGTCAGAATAAGGCATCTACATACAAGTCTAGCCAGCAACCTCGACTTATTGACACGAAGCATGCAGCACTGACAATTAATTAAGAGAAATCAAACCAAAAATTCATGCCAAAGAATATTGCATTGTGTTCTGTTCCATGCTACTACTACACATACCATGCGTCTTGAAAAATTTCATGCAACCAGATAGAACATCGTTTCATGTGGTTATAAAATATAAAGAATGAAAAGGAATATGGTCAGCTCATTGAACCAAAATGCCTTTAACTTTACTTCACCATGGTCATAGCTCTAAGCCAATAACGACAAAGCCCTCAGGCTCCACTTGCCAAAGGATTTGGATCTTTCTCAGTTTCTTAGAAAAGTGACAGTATCAATTTTGAGCGAGCGAGGGATTCAGTGTGTGTGTGTGTGTGTGTCTCTCTCTCTCTCTCTTACTCACTCTCACGCACACTAACAGCCAACTTACTAAGATAGTGAGAGTATCCAAGTCTCCACAACAGGAAATTCAACATTCTGATAGCCAAAGGCCAGAATCTAAGCCATCCATTTTCTCGCCAACAAGAAATGCATGCACCTGGTCTCCCATTTGAACCCAGCTGCAACCAGGACTCTTCCTCGCTCCCCTTGACTTCATCAACCGCCTGACTTTGTCAGCCTCTTCCCATCTTTCAGCTTCTGCATACATATTTGAAAGAAGTATATAATAGCCACAATGCTGAGGCTTTAACTCAAACAAATGTTCAGCAGCCCAACGACCCAATTCTACATTGCCATATATCCTACATGCTCCGAGAAGTGCACCCCATATATTAGCATCTGCTGCAATAGGGAGTCCCCTAATGAGTTCTGCTGCTTCTTCCATAAGACCAGCCCTTCCAAGGAGATCAACCATACAAGCATAGTGCATGGGTGTTGGCTCAATATTAAGATCCTTCATCTCCATAAAGTATTTCCTTCCCTTCTCAAGTAGCCCACCATGACTACAGGCTGATAAAACTGCAATAAATGATACCGAATCATATTCCACACCATCTTCCTTCATTGCCTCAAAGTAGTTAATGGCAGTGTCCAATTCACCAAGCATTCCATAGCCCAAAATCATGGTATTCCAGGAGGCTACATCTTTGTTTTCAATACATTCAAATACCTTAGCAGCAATATCTATTTGACCACATTTTGTATACAAGTCCAAGAGCGAATTTGCTGCAAAAAGATGAGTGTGTAAAAGCTTCCTTACCAGAAAGCCATGTATCTCTTTGCCTTGTTTTATTGCAGCCAGGTTTGCACACGCTGATACTACACCCATGAAAGAAACAATATCTGGCTTCATTCCTGAGAGTCTCATTTCTCTAAACAAATTTAGTGATCCCAAGCAATCCATTGTCTGGGAGTAGCCTATAATTAGTATATTATAGGAAACTTCATCTCTGATAGATATGTCAAAGACATTTTGAGCAAAACTTAAGCTCCCACATTTTGAATACATGTCAGTCAGAGCGTTAGAAATAAACAAATCAAATGCATATCCAGCACGAATTATCCTGGCATGTAGTTCCTTGCCAGTGTGCAGGAAACCTAGTCTTGCACAAGCTGGAAGAATATTTGTGAAGGTTACAGAGTTGGGGATTTCACCATAATTTTGCATTTGCCTTACTATATCTAAAGCTGCAAATTCTAATCTGTTCTGAGTTAAGTTTGCAATCATAGCATTCCAAGATACGATATTTCTTTCACCCATGTTGTGAAAGACCAAGCATGCAATCCTTGGATACCCTGTCTTTGCATACATGTCTATCAACGAGTTAGCAATGAAAACATCAGACTCAATCCCCATCCTTAAACTAAAGCCATGGATTTCCTTTCCCAGTTTACAAAATCCTAATTCTCCTAAAACTGGTAGCATACTAGAAATGGCGATTGAGTTTGGTGTCATTCCTGAATCAATCATCAACCTTAAAGCTTCTAAGGCATTCATATTGCGCCCTGTATAAGTAAAACTAGTGATGAGTGCATTCCAGGAAACCTCATTTCTGTCAACCATCTCATCAAAAACTTGCTTTGAAGCTTTTTCATTCCCACATTTCCCATAAGCATCTATCAATGCATTTCCAGTTTTTACATGGTCAGACAAACCAACCTTCAAAACATAACAGTGCACTACACTTGTCATTATCTGATCTCCGGTGTCCGCACAGACTGGCAAGACGCTGACTATGCTAACCAAATCCGGTTTAAAGCAGCCAGATATCACACTCATTCCTTTAAAATAGTCAAGTGCCTCCACATTAAAACCATTAAGAGAAGACAAACCTATTATGGTATTCCACGATACCTTATCCTTCTCACACATTTCATCGAACACCCTCTTTGCATCAATTACATGAGCACAATTTCCATATAACAGCATAAGGGTGTTCCCGACGAAAACATCCCCATCAAAACCCAGCCTAAGCACAGCCCCATGGATCTCCATACCCTTTTGAAGGTCCGAGCAATCCGAACACTCCTTCAGAACAAAAGGAAAAGTATGGCCATCAGGTCGAATGCCTGCACGAACCATCTGGTTATACGTCTTGAACTCATCGCGAACACCCGCAATGGAGTTAGCCCGTACAAGAGTGTTCCACAAGAAAGCGTTACGACACAGCCCCACAGTTTGCTGGAAAAGAAACCGATAAGTTCTGGAATCTCCATATGTGGCGTATCGAAGAATGAGGGAAGCAGCAAGAGAGACACTAGCGGGGAGGAAGCCAGTGAAAACCCCAAAGGCGTGAACTTGCTTGATCTGGGAAAGGTTGTGGCAGAGGGAGCAGAGTTCGAGAAGATTTGGGTGAGTCTGAATCTGAGCATTGCAAAGCGAAGAGAAGGTACTACAGAGTGAGGGGAATCGAGGTTTACTGGGGGAAGAAAATATTGAGGTTAGATGATGTTTCTTGAGCACATGGTTAACGAACATGGAAAATTGGCAAGTGTTTCTCTGCGTGCCCAACTCTGAGAGGAATCAATCGTCCCTGTGAGGTGTCGGCGATTCCCACGGCAAATTTTCCCTTTGCCCCCCTTCCTCTTCTTTCAAAAAAAATTCCGCTGGGCTTAGGAGAATAACAATTTTTTTGGAAGATAAACTGCCTAAGCACTTTGAAAGTACCCTTCTGATCAGAGTCGCTTCATCGTTAAATTTTCACCGTTAATATACTATTTTATCTTTTATTTATTATCATATAAATAATTATTTTAAAAAAAATATGTATATATTAAATATAGATAGAGTTAAAAAATTATTATATTTTAAAATTTTTCTTGACATATATAAAATATATTGAAAGTGTTTATAAATAAGAATAAAGAAATATAACTTGGTACCTATACTATAACTTTTTTGAAGGAAAAATAACAAAAAAAGCTCAGAAAAATTATAAATAAAGACCTATTATAATATTAGTAGGAATAGCGCTCCTTTGCCTTTTCCCTCCTTTTCTCTTTATTATTAGATTAAATTTTTGGTTCATAATTTAAATTTATTTATATATTTTTATGTAAAATTATTTATAAAATATTAAATTTAAACTGCTAAAATTTTAATCCAACGTTCATGAAAGAAAAAGGAAAAGGGGGGGAAAAAAACAAGAAGAAGTTATTCATGATAACAAAAACAAATGGGCTCGTGGTTTTGGTTGTAAATTCATAAGGTTAACTTGCTAAGAGAATTGAAATTATACGTAGATTGGAGGCGGAAACTCTTAAATCCTTCTCTCTCATAATCCCATTTCCACCATTATAATAATAGCAGTACATGAATAGAAGAGAGAGTCCTTTTTTTAAAATGTTAAATTTGAATAATCCATTTTTTTAATCTAATAGTGAAAATGAGATTCTGAAGAGAAAATAAAAAGAAGGAGTTTTGAGAGAACACGTACCGTCTCAATTTGTGCTGAACCAAAAAGACCATTACAGAGGTTGTGTAATTTGTGCTGATAACAACCATATAAAACCTAGTGGATGAAACTGAGAACAACGATCTGTACATTTACTCATGTACAGCCATTGCTCTTGCAAACTGAAACTATTACCTTCTTGATCATTCTCCACGCCTTGAACAAAAGGCGCACGTTGTTGAAGGATGATATGAATCTTTATCTTTTGATCTGCTCCAAGTTTTGCTTGATAATAAATTTCAGTTATTAGTTAAAAAAGAAGAAGAAAAGTTTGTATTTCTTTTGGCATAGCATGCTGAAGTATGATGAAGACATCAAGCTAACACAGTTTGTAATATGTGGAAGCAACCAAAATTACAACCCTTCACCGCCATTTGCATATACAAAATACTTTTTGGCAACAAACTAACCAGAAACCAAATATTTTAAGTTTCACACTTCAATATCCAAACCAAGAAGAAAACTAAGTGATCATTACAGACATGATCTTCCTAAACAACGTTTTAACTCTACCTATTGTTAATATTATCCTAGAAGTTCCATGGACTGAAATATCAATCTGTTCATCTGACGTTCTCTACCAGCAAAAGCTTCCCTGGGGGAATAAGAGCAACTGAACAACGATCTGGATTACAGAATTTCTTGAAAACTGCTTTCAACTTGCTCTCACCAGCCAGCGAGTGAAAGCTCACCATGAGTTTAGCACATTCCCTGCACCATAATTGGGAAAAGTGAAAAAAAAACATCAGACAATGTTCTCATTAATACACACCAATATTTTCTGAATCATATGTTACTGAAACTACCTTAATTTGTCCTCAGATAAGCCTGTGTAATGTTCAAGAGTCTGTGTCCAGAATGGGCTCCTACCAAGGGTAAAGCGAGCAGCATACACAGCAGAAGCAGCAATAACAGAGGGGCTATACAATATTACAGTGGCATAGTGAACTAGGCCAAGTTCAGCTAGGAAATACGCCATGTTCTCCATCTGCATTTCACGGGAAAAGGCAAAAAAGATATCAATCACCAATGAGATGAGATATGGTATTTTAAATATGTTTTAGACCAGCCACAAAGAACTATATATATACACACATATACATACCTCCTTATCAGAGGGAGAAGAGACTTTGATATACCGGACAAGGAAGACGTATGGTGTAGGAACAGTTAAATACCATTCTAGCTTCCTTAAGATTGTTTTCTCCATCACCAGAACCTGTTCTCTTTTATAGGCGTTGTCTGATATGCACACAAAGTCATTCACCTGCATTATATTATAATTCAAAACCCATATCATAACTTAGTACACTGGGAAAGAAAACTTGGTAGGCAATTTAAGATTAAAACCAGATTTTCTTACAACTGACCACAGTTAAATGTTCTTTTGAGTCACCTTATATATGACAATCCAATTAAGAAGCCATATAAATTGTCTCAAACATCAGACTAGATGCAATGATTTACATCTTATGTACTAACAACATGTCTAGAAAACTTAAAAAAAAAAAAAAGAGAGAGATAAATTGTACCTCTGGGGACCAAATCTCCTCATATTTGCAGGCTATGAGCATGGAACTGATGCCAACCAGCTGAAGCTCCTTTCTGGACACAGCCTTCAAGGAAAGGAAACGGTCCACGATGTTTATAGTCAGATGAAGAGTTTCAGGCATGAGTTCAAATTTACGATGTACTTCTATCAACCAGTCCACAAGAATCGCTCTCATCTTAGCATTCACATCAGGTTGTGACCCCATGTAATCGTACACACGGCTATCACTCTGAAATTTACATAAGTCATCAAATGTTAATTGAATCAGAAAGAGAGACAGAGTCAAGAGTTACATTATGTGAACATCGAAAATTGTTAACATGGTTATTACCTCTGCAAATTTGTAGAACTTGTAGAGTTCGTCGATGTACTCAACAGCTGCCAATTCATTGTCCACGTCAGATGCATCAACGTCTAGCACCTGATCCTTTGGTTTGTAAGTACGTCCACAAGCAGCCTGAGATTCATCAATCACTTAAATTTATCACACCACACTGATATTCTGAAACAGAGCAGCTTTGGATGAGGAAGAAGAAGAAAGGAAATAGTTACCTTGCTTCGAGCAGAGAGGATTGCACTGAGGGTCTTCACATTCTTCTTGGTTGAGTTCTGTTTAGAGTTTATGACTTTAGCAGGTTCTTTCTTCTTCTTTTCCTTCTTTACTTCCTCACTATCTTCTTCATCAGAGCTAATAGTAATAACTTCAGGTCCTTCTGGGCGAACAATCTTCCCTGCTGCTAATACTTTCGTTGTTGCAAGGCTTGGTTTCTGAAATATGATACACAAGTTCAGTTCTTTTCCAAGTTATTAATAAATTATTTATACAAAATTAAAAATAGATCTCACCTTGTTCTTCTCTGCTTCTTGCCTGTGAAACAAACAGGAATAATTAAAATATTAGTATTAATATTAATAACTAATTAAAAAATGAGTTTGTGAAGAGAGATGAGAAAAAGACAAAACAAAACCTTGTGATGCGCTTAGAAACATCCACAAGATTCCCAATATCCTGGAGAACCCGTCGACTCCGTCCTTCTACTGCTACATTCTTCGGCTTATTTTCACCTGCAAGCAACTTTTCTTTTTCAGAAAGATTTTCTTTTTGGCCTGATTTTCGGAAAGATATAAAACACTCGAAGAGATGCTCTGGAGATTTTGACAAGGCCCGTCGAGAACTATATGATTTTAGATGAAAGTAAATGAAAACTCCAAAGATTCAAATTTGAATTGATAAAACCCTAAGAGAGTGGTGAAAAATGAAGTTTTAAGAACAGAGTGCATGAAATCTCAAAGAAAAGACGAAGATCGCATACCCCTTTGCAGTTCATGCGGCAAACAAGCTCCGGTAGCCATATCTGGCTCTTGCTCTTGATGGTTACTCCCGAAAACGCCTCCAATAGTCGAAAACAACGACGAGAGGAACACCTGGAGACGACTGTTGCGCGTCTCTCCTCCGTCGGAGTCCGTGTTCGTCGCCACCGCGTCGGTGAATATTCCACAACTCTTTTCTCTTCCCTTCTCTATCTCCAACGACTCTTTTCCTTCTGTCGGTGATAAATTCTGAGATTTCTTCTTCTCTGCACTATTTGAAAGTGAAAATTTTGGGATTTTGAGTTAATAAGGATTGTTATATACTGAAGAGGTGCCACTCACAGTCGAACAGGCGCCAGCTCCAACGGTCGATTCTTTATCTTATCAATGCCGTTGGATGACTGATGTATCTAACGGCTTTAAACCTTTTCCTGATTCTCTCTTCCTCAACTTTAATTTTTACTAGCCGTTTCTGTTTTTAGAGTTAAAATTTTCTATTTTGCAACCAAAAAAATTGCCTCTTCCCATTGATTTCTTGTTCTTTCAGTTGATTGAATGTATTTCAGTTTTTTTTAATTGAAAAAATGCATTTTAGTTTTATTCAAAAGAAATATTTTTTTACTAGCCGTTTGGGATGTTATTTCACTTAATTAATTAATTTTCATTACATGGAACCTCGTTCCACTAATTTTGGTAATTCACTTATAAAAAATCTCACATGCCTGGTGAATTAACTTCCTTTCTTAATTTAATACAATTATTTATATATTTAAATATACAGTATTATTTTGGGAGAATCCCAACTAAATTCAACTGAAATACTTGAATTCAGATTTAAGCCTATACTTTCAACAAATTCCTAATTAGGCCATGAGACCCAATTAGGGATTTCTGAATGTTGTTAAATAATCAGAATACTCTTCTTTATTTAAAGAGGAAAATCGATTATTTATCTCTCCCAAGTGATCTTTCATCTCTTATGATTTTTTTAGACCAAAAAACATATAAGTGATCTTAAAATGTTTGAAATTTTTATATATAACTTACACTATTAAAAATATTTTAATAAAACATGTTAAATTACAAATATAAATAACCTTTAAATAAATATTTTTTGTTTTCAGTTCTTATAATTCACATTATTTTTATTTATTTAAGCAATGTTGGATCCAACCAAAAACTCAAATTATTTCAACTTAACATTAAATATTGATTATAATTAAAATATTTTAAAATCTAAAAATAAATGTTTACAACTTGAAAAGAAAAAATATTTATTTGAGGACTACTTATATTATAATTTGAAAATTTTTATTATATTATAATTTGAAATTTTTTGTGAAAATAATTTAAAGGTTTTTAGTTATATATATAAAATTTCAACACTGAAAAATTATTTATATTTTTTTATCTAAATATTAATCATAAGAGATGATGAACCACTTTAGAGAGATAATATAATCAATTTTCATTTTTAACTAAAGAGCAGCATTATCGTCATTTAACAAAATTTAGCAATTCCTAATTAGGTCTCATGTCCTGATTAGAAATTTGTTAAAAATAAAGGCCTCAAGTTGAATTTAAGTATTTGAGTTGGATTTAATTGGGATTTTCCCTATTATTTTTTCCTTCAATTTTATTATTTATTCCGTTGGTGTAACAACGAAACTACTACACTTATAAAGTAATCAATATCAAAAAGTTAACCATGATAGAAAAGAAACTTTGTAAAAATATTTAGAAATACTATCATGGTTATATAAATATCCTAAATCATATGAGATTAACCATGATAGAAAAAGAGTTAAACCAATCCATAAATATGTCTATCATGGTTAAAAGAACTTTCCTAAATTAACTGCGTGCAAAAAGATATTCATAATGGATAGGGCTTTGGGTATTATAAATCTAGAATATCATTTTCAACCATAAGCCCATAACACGATTTTACTAAATAGTACCTTTCATAACTTTCAACAAAATCAAAAGTCATTTCATGTCAAAGATCACTGTGGATTCACCACTCATATCAACAAAAGAAATCACATGCAAATGCCTAAAGGCCTCCGGCCTTCTACCAGCATACAGTCCAGTAACAGTTCTCAAAAGTACACTGTCAAAATAATCAATCTCAAACATATCAGAGTATGTGGAATGGGCCCTATCATGGCAATATACATCTATCCAACACAATCAAAAGAGTGGAAGCGCTACAATTTTGCAATAGCAGCTCAAGCTTCCGGAGCCTTCCCTGACTGACCCGAACGGGAACTATCACCTGGAAAAGTGTTAAATCAACGGGGTGAGACAAAAGTCTCAGTAACCAACAATCCTACTTATCAAGCATACAAGTAAGTGCTCGTGACGTGTCAAGTGAGACAATTGCAAATTCATAGTATTCCAACAAATTTCATATTGTCAAAGCATATAAAAAGTACAATCAATATTCTTTTCACCTCCCTTATATCCACCCACCTTATATCCTCTGACTAAACCCATGGGCTAAATCCTCATCCATGTGACTGGTAATTAGACAAGCTCACCGATCAAGTGATATGGACCGGCCAAAATCCACAGAGCACAAGACCGGACCATGGGTTCCCCCTCTAGTCTACTAGTAGGGTGTCAATGCCCTATAATGAATAATTGGGCCAAAGGACCAATCAGTGTACACCTGATGGCCCTACCACCTTATATCCTCAAATGTACATAATTCACCCCCTTATATCCTCTTTGTTATAGTACCCATCATCAACATCCGCCACCCCTCATATATCAACACTCAAAATATTGCATTCATAAACAATCATCACATGTAAAAATCAATTGGGATTTTCCATTTTCAATTAACTCATAATACTTGAGATCATCATAATAGTAAACATATATCTTTGCAACAAAAGTCTCACAAGACAATTTCAATAACAACATACTTTCATAGCTCACATCATAATTCAATAATATTTCATAAATTCCTTGTAATTCAAAATAATCACAAACAACCTACGAGCATGAATAATAAGTAGAAAGTGGTTACCTCTTGTCTAGAACAAGTATTACCACAAGGTTAACCCCGTGCTCATACCAATAGCCCAATAATTTAATCTACACAACCAATACATTTACATATCAATACACAAGCTATTTAATTAATTACTTAAACTAAAACATATATATATAAGTTAAAGTTTCTAATTCTATGCTAAACCCAAACCTCTCATAACCCATAATTAAGTCTTTTAGCACAAAATTTATATACCTCACAATCCAAAATTTTCATTTAAACCTTTCAAAGTATTTACTTTAATACAGATTTTTCTCAAAATTTTAAATCTGAAATTATCATATTTAAAATTCAAAAATCCTATTTTAACTTTAAATCTCAAAAACCAACCATTAGAAATTCACTATACATCAAATGCATCTAAGTAAATAATTTAATCAACAGTTTCATGGTATAAATATCATATTTTTCATAAATAAATATCTGTTTAACTAAAATAATTCATTTAAAAATATTAGGTCAGTCAATAAAAAAACTAAACTGATAGAAATGATCTACTAAAATAGCTCTACAATATTATGCTTACCTATCATCAAAACTCAACACTTGCTTCAAACCCTAAACCCAAAAATTATCTCTAAACAGTATAAAACTACCATCATTAGATAGATTTAGATGAGTGGAAAAACTTTCATGAAGAGAGTTTAATGAAAAGAAGTCATTTGGCTTACCAAAATGATCTGCAAAGTTGAAACCCTACTGGAAAAATGAGAGGAAGGCGCCGGAGAAGGTGAAAAGAAAGACGTCGAAATGTTTCTCTCTGGCCCCCCAACGGTTAAAATAATATTTTGGCAAAAATTCCAGTTAAAGACCCCATATTAAAATGGGACAAAATTATAGTTTGGTACCCCGTTTTTTTCCTTTTTTTTTTATCCGTTTTATTATTATATATTCAGAAATTCCAATTTTCCTTATACATATTTTATAAATCTTATTTTCAATAATTCTCTTTTCTTAAATAAATAGAGAATAAAACTCATTTATCAAGCATTAAACTCCTTCTAAACTTAACTAAACACTAGGAATAATAATAAATAAAAAAAATGGGATGTTACAACTCTCCCCACCTAAAAGGAATTTTGTCCCCAAAATTCAAACAAACACACACAACAACCAAGAAAAACACCTACCAAGAAAACAAGTACGGGTACTCGCACCGCATTCGCTCCTCGGTTTCCCAAGTAGCATCACCGGGACTCATTCCTTTCCAAAGACTTTTACGAGCCGAATAGTCTTATTCCGTAATTGCTTGTCCTTCACATCCAAAATCCCGCTCTGGTTCTGCCTTATAAGTCAAGTTCTCACGTAACTCAACTTCTTCAGGCTCGATTATGTGAGATGGATCTGGATGATACTTCTTCAATTGTGACACATGAAACACATCGTGAATGTTGGACAAATGTGGCGGCAAGGCAACACGGTAGGCAACAGGTCCAATTCTCTCCAAGATCTCATATGGGCCTATGAACCTGGGTGTCAACTTTTTGGCTTTGATAGATCTTCCAATACCCGTGAGTGGAGAAACTTTCAAAAACACATGATCACCTACATCGAATTCCAAAGGTCTCCGACGACGATCTGCATAACTCTTCTGACGGCTTTGAGCTGTCAATAACCTTTGTTTAATCAGATCAATCTTTCTGGTAGTGATGTCTACTAAGTCAGGACCAATGATAGTTCTCTCACTCAATTCTGTCCAACAGAGTGGAGATCGGCACTTTCTCCCATATAAGGCTTCATAAGGAGCCATCTGAATGCTAGCGTGGTAGCTATTGTTGTAGGCAAATCTGCTAGCGACAAATGACTGTCCCAACTACCCTTGAACTCAATAGCACAAGCTCTCAGCATGTCCTCGAGAGTTTGAATCGTCCTCTCGGTTTGTCCATCTGTTGGGGGGTGGTAAGCAGTACTGTACTTCAACTTAGTGCCCATGGCTTTTTGCAATGACCTCCAAAAGTTTGATGTAAACCGCGGATCTCGATCAATATGATTGACTCGGTACTCCATGAAGTCGAACTATCTCATCAATGTATAATTGTGTCAGTCGCTCTAAAGAGTAAGTGGCTTTGATAGGTAAGAAGTGCGCTGACTTAGTCAATCTGTCAACAATCACCCAAATTGCATCGTAACCAGCTGGGGTCCTTGGCAAACTAGTGATGAAATCCATGGAAATGCTATCCCACTTCCATTGAGGAATA